GTTTTCTTGTGCCCAATAATGCATAATTTCATTTGATAAACACGTTTAGATTGAATGATAATTTATAATCAGTCACAAGAACGTCGAATCTGAATCACTTGAAAAAAACACGGGGGTGCTTAACTTTTTTCCAGGTGTATACGTTTAAATAACACGAAAGCTGTTGATGCTTTCGAATCTACTTTGTCGCGCCATATTTTATCTCTTGAAAACATTTTGAGCAGACGATCTATAAAGAGTTCAAGATTTTAGTGTTTGAGGATGTGGGACATGGTTCTCATTGTCGATAGACTGTATTAGCTAAAAGATTTTCAAAAGATGCTTTTAAAAAAATGAATTAACATAAAATTATAAACGTTAAAATACGGTATTCGTAACAAGCATATGTAAATGAAATGAATCTGTATGATAGAGATTACGATACTTTATCCGAAAAGATATATCTACAATATGGTTAAAAGAAATTTTTTTGACTTCCTGCAGCTATTGTCCCATTCACAGAAAAAATGCCTTTCAACCAACTGATAAACAGTATAAGTGATTTTTCATTAACTAAGTAAAAGTCACTCACACACGTAAGTTCATATAAAATAAATCGCCTTATGTCGTTGTTGTTTTAGTGCAAAGAGCTACACAATGGGAGCTATCTGCGCTCTATCACGGGAATCGAAACCCGGATTCTAGCATTGTAAGTCTGCCTTAACGCTCTAATATCATTTGATAGAATGTGAGACAGACTATATTCGTCCAAGTCCCACCAAACATGCTCGCCCTTTCCGCCGTGGGAGCGTTATAACGTGATGGTCACTCCTACTATTCGTTTGTAAAACAGTAGTTCAAGAGTTGGCGGTGGGTGGTGATGACTAGCTTCCTTCCCTCTAGTCTTTCGCTGCTAAATTAGGGACAGTTAGCGCATTTAGCCCCCGTGTAGCTTTGTGCGAAATTCAAAACAAACAAACTTATTCGTTTGTCGTACCCAGTTGTTACTTTTCCAAAGCTTTACTTTTCAATGCTTCTTGAACTCGATTTATTTTTAAAGTCAGTTAAGTTTTCGTCCAACATAAATAATTAAAAAAAACAATATTTTTCTTCTTATCAGGAAATAAAATCTGGCAAGCAATACTTAACTGTAAACATATACGTGTACCGTCTGAAGAGTTCAAAAACTTTGTGTTTGTTAAAGAGTGCAGTGATGTAAATACAACTTGTATTCGAAGGACATATGAAATCTTGTTATTTAATCCGCGAAGTTACACGTTCTTTCTTAACCTTGTGTTACTGTGTAAAATTGGTTTAATGCCTATAAAACAGTATTTACTAATAATAATGATAATTACAGTATTTCTGTTGTTATTACTATATTATTCTTAAAACACGCTGTGAGTAATTAATATTAAAAAGTTTAAAATACAGAGCGATCGTTAGTCGAAAATTACATTCACAGCTACATTTTTGAAACCATATTGGATAGGCTTGAGCACCGACGTTGTCGAAGGTGCTGCCGTCTTTCGAGCATAAAATATATAATTAAGCCATTTAAATCTTTTTTTTTTTTTGTGAGGCCTTATAAGTTCAAGTTTCATGTGTTTTTGCAAAGCTACACAAGTGCTATGTGCACTAGTCGTCTCTAATTCTGAACTGACAGACTAGAGGGGAGGTAGTTAGTTAACACCGCCCACCCCAACTCTTGGTTTACTCTAATGAAATAATATAATTTGACTGTCACTTTTATAACGCACACACAGCACCAAAATGTGGAGCGTGATTTTACGACTTTGCGGTAACAGGACACGAACCATGAACCCTGGACTTTAACACAATCGAATAAAGTGAAAGTTTATTAACACATCAATATTAATATAATTACATACATGAACATGGCTCTGAAAGAGGTCAGAGTGAAAGAGTGGACTAGCTAAACTGTGGCCCTCTTGTATTAATGAAATAAATATTGAACAAATATCAACCAAGTGCAGAAGGGGGGGAAGAGGTCTTTGAACCTGACCCTCCAAGGTCTAAAAGACTTAAATACCAATAGCTGGAACAACAAAAATTATTTATATGATTAACAATTATATACCTTTCTTTAAGCTCACTAGATGGCAGGAGAGTTTTCATAAGCTGGGCAGTTTGGCAGGGATGAAGAACAAAGGAAGGTCTGCCAAGTAACGGATGCTCCTATAAACAAAAAAAAACATATAATGATTTGTATGAAAAGAGAGAACTATACGTATTTAATATGGAAAATTATCTTACTGTGGGTGGTTGCCATTATATTCTCAACCAAAATGTTTTTAAAATACTTTGAAAACAGCGGAAAATACCATACTGTTTAAATCTTAACTTACTGGTTTTTATATGTGAATGCTCTTGCCGAAATGTAAAATTATTGAAAATTGTAAACAATACAACTGGAACTGTTCGTGTAGTGCAAAATCATTGATGGTATCTATGTCTAGTTTGATGTGGCCTTAATTTATTTTTATTTCTAATATAAATGTTAATAGGGGAGAGGTACTTAGGACTATTTTTCATCATGTATGCAGAAACGGTCGAGTTCGCATAGTAGATCAATCTTTTGCCAATTTTTCGCGAAATAAATTAGTGAACTACGTAGGAGTTGATCAGTTGGTGTTGCGTAGTTGTGTATAAATGCTGAGGAAATTGATCTAGGTACTCTGTATGCTGTTGTAAGTTGTGTGTTCTGTAGTGTTTGTAATTTAGTTTTGATTTGTTTTGGTGTTATATTTATCCAAGCTGGTGCTGCACATTCTGTTACTGGTCGTATGTATGTTTTATATATGTTTACTATGTTTTCTGCTGTTGCTCCACTATTTTTACCTGTTAGACTCCTTGCATAATTCATACGCTGCCAAACTTCGGTTTTTATGTTGTTTATGTGTTCAATCAATGTTAATTTTGTGTCATAAGTTAGGCCTAGGATATAAATAATAGTTTAGAAATGGTTTGGTTGTTGAATTTCTCGCCAAACTACTCGAGGGCTATCTGCGCTAGCCGTGCTTAATTCAGAAGTATTAGACTAAAAGGAAGACAGCTAGTAAGTATAGTCACGATATAATTATTGAAGGGTATAGTTATTACTGATTGTCACTCGATGTTGTTGTTAATATTGAAAGGTATTGTTTGAATATTGTAATTGCTGTATTCTTTTTCGAATTAGGTTTTTTTTCTGGTTCTTTTTCCTGGTTCCATTATTATTGATTTATTGAGATAAATCATTTATTAATATTGGTGTGAAGTCGTGGTCAGGAATTTATTTCCAAGTGTTATTAGATTTAATAAATTGTGTTTTCGTTTTTGAACCCTGATTGTAACGGCGTGGTCATTTCAGACCGTTACAGTACTACCCACTGCCAACTCCTGGACGACTCTAACCGAATAGTGAGATTGATCGCACATTATGACGCTCCCATGGCCAGAAGGGATGTTCGGTGATGAGATTCGAACCCACGACAAGAAGATTGTTCTTCAAGTGCTTTCCATACACTGTTTAAATAATCCCAAATCCATGTATAACATTTGATTAAATATACTCAAAATAATTATCTCTATCGGAAACTAATAAGTTATATCAAAGTAGCAACGAAAATTTAATAACATGAAACTAAAAGGCTCCCCACTTATTATTATTTGTACGATTAATAAACCAACTACGGACAACAAAATCACTTTGTATTCTGACTGCGCCCCCTCCAAAATATTTAGCTACATGACGTCACTAAACTAAATTATATTTTTTTTATTTTAAATAAAAGGGTATAAATCTTGTAGGACAGTTTTTAACGACCTTTTGTCCACTTCAAGGAGAGAAGTGTTTGATCTACGAATGCAGGTCTTTACTAAAAACCTTAAACAAGAGAACAAACCGTTTTTATATTTTATGTTTTCAGTATTAGTTTTTTTTCGGGACAACAATTTTTTCTTTATAAAATTGTTTCTATTGTTCTTACAGCAACTACCTCTTATTATGGTTGAGTACCGTTAGTCCATTGGTCGGACTGGAGCTTTCGATGAGGTACGCAGAGCTGTGCTCTATCAAACGGAATTGTTCAACAACGACTTCCTAGTGTTTCAAATAGTATAAATTTTGTTTCCACTATGTTTCCAATCTATAGGTTTTGAATAAAACTATATCATAAGATTATGTTTATGATTACATTTTGTCACGAATAAAGGTTTAACCATAAAAATCCAACCAAAGCAGAAGCGGTGTGTATGTGTGTGTATTTGTAAAAAACTTTTTTCATCGACAGCAAAAGTTTGGGATTGAGTTTGACAGTAAATTAAATAATTTGATTATTTGTAATCAAACACAAAACTACACAGTGGTTTATCTGTACTGTATCCACCACGGGTATCGTATTAATATATAGTCAAATATATAAACTTTTCAGAGCGACCGGAAGGAATAATCATATTATTTATTAAGATAGCCTTAATTTTTTTTTATCATTTTCAACAAAACTTTTGGCCATTTACCAAAATGTTTTTTTTTCTATAATGTTGTGTTGTTTACAACAGTACTGCACGCTATGAAATGTTTTAAGTTCTTATTGTGACGTTAACATTATTTTACTATCGTAATAAATGTTATTTATTGAAATACATATCAGTATCTGCAAGAAATAGCTAAGAAGAAAAATTCTTCGAATTATCAGAACTCATAGAATCATGCTTTGTATCTTATATCTATATACTGAGTCATTTTTCTGCAAGATATCTTTAGTTAAGGTGTTGTGTACATTATATTCAAACTATTTTGAATATACAAATCAGTAAGTCACATGACAACCACAGGACATAAAGTCGCGTGGGAACGGCTTGTGTCAAAATTATATTTTTTTGACACTGTTTGACGTTTCGTAGGTAGTGCGACGTTACTGAATATTGATTATAACAAGTCGTATCCCAGCCCTTGTATGCAAAATGTGGCGTCTTATAAGAGATGAGAATCCATGAACACAAAGGCTAGTAGCAAAAGCTGTCCACGTGCTCCAGGAAACAGCACGCATCATAATCAAGAAAGACCTCCGTCTGAAAAAGCGACAACAGTCGCGTGTATACAAGTTACATCTGATACATATCCATTCAACTGTTGCATACCTCAAGCAACTGGAGAATGAGACGGGTAGCTATGCTATTCTATACGAAGACATACCACCTATGGATTTCTGTGCGATTAGACTATTGAAACTGGCGCTGAGAAACTTTCGTTCTTATACACAAAGTGATTCATGGAACACCTCCAGGAAGGAATGGTGTGCTTTAGATATGACATAGTTACAAAGGAGCCTTTTACTAATGGAAACTACGCTGCATGACTCTTGTCAAGGCTCACGGTCTTCAGATAGTGCATGACGTAGCGACGTGGACTGTAACGACGTGGTTAAGATCCAATATTGCTTTAATATAATGTACTTAACTTTTGTATGCTGCAAAATTGATTCATATTTAGACAATTTTTTTTATGAATATTGTTTGGATAGAAGCATGACCGAAGTTTTTGTACTGTTAACTTCTTTATTTCACAATAAACTTGATACATACATTACAGATCATTATGAGCTGGTTTAGCTTATGTGCTTAGAAGTTTTTCACTCTTGACACATGCGCACTATTACAAAACAGACATTTGAAGAAATATTTTTTGTTGTTATTGTTGTAATATAATAACACATTGACGAATAACATTTTCGCTATAGGTTGGTTTAATCAGTGTTAAGTAATAAATCGTTTAACTTAAGTACTTAAATTAAAGAATTTTAGTTCTTGTAGATAGCACCAGGTGTAGCAATATAGGGTTCGTATATTAGCAAGTTACACCCTTATAATTAATCCACTGGAAATAGTTATCCATGAAAAGTGTTAAAGTGACTCTATACTTTTATTCAAATAATATAAAATTTAATTTAGTAGTGATCAAAATTGGAGTTTTAATTGGCTACGATATAAGTAATTATTGGCACCCTATATTTTGTCCGACGTAAATTAAAAGTTGTGTTATTGTTTTAGAGCAAAGCTATACAATAAGCTATTTTCACTCTGACCACTCCTGGGAATCGAACCTCGGATGTATTTGCCATGTAAGTCCGTAAACTAAATGTTGACCCAATTGGAAACATTAAAAATGTTAGTAAAAACAAACCGCAGATACCTAATCTCAAATAATAGGTTGCTATTTTTGTCACTAGATGGAAGAACAATCAGTAGTACTAACTAACATAGGTGTTAACTGATTGAAAATGTCTTCGAAATATTTTGTGAGTCGGTAGGTCTTAGTTACATCGTTTCTGAAAATGATCGGTAAATTATGTTTCTACTGTATTACAACGAAATAAGTTAAATAGTTATGAAAGAACAATTTTAAAATACTTGTATCATTAATTTTATACATTAAACATTTTATAATGGGATTGAAATTTATTTTACCGAAATTGCAATTAGAAATATTTATTAATAATTTATTTTGTTTTTAGAAATCGTAATTTCGCTTCAGCATGTAAATAACAGATATTTCTGGAACGCAGCAACTTTTTATAAAGTACTTTTGATTTTATTAAACCTAAGTTTATGTGAATTTTTAAAGCATACTTACTAGGGGACCCCCATGGCACAGCGGTATGTCTGCGGACTTACGACGCTAGAATCAGGGTTTCGATACCCGTGGTGGGCAAAGCACAGATAGCCCATTGTGTAGCTTTGTGCTTAATTACAAACAAAACTTACTAGGGATATATGTTGTAGCATTTATGGTTAGTCCCCCTGGTGGGACAGTGGTAAGTCTTCGGATTTACAACGCTAAAATTAGGGGGTCAATTTCCCTCGGTGGACACAGCAGATAGCCCGATGTGGCTTTGCTATAAGAAAACACAAATCCTACTGACGATTGTTCGTTTTCGTGCAAAGCTACACAGTATATTTCAGTCTCGTAAGTCATCACACACACCGCTTTAAAGAATAAATTAACCATAAATGAAAACGAAACACCATCATCATGGACAAAGATATTCGACGATCCCCTTTTGTGACGTTTTCAAATTAAGCATAACCCATAAAAAACATAAATAAAAAAACATGAGAGAGAATAAAAAAAAATACTTATCCGTCCATGTTGAAGCAGTTTGTTTAAGCTTTGGACCTTAGGCAATGGATGTGAAATAGGTTATTCAATAAGATTTTATTTTTGTTTTGGTTAAACCGTTTGGATACTCAAAGTTCACTTTCGGGATGTGGCGGTCTTTATGAAAAACACTATTTTCAAAATGGTAATGGTAAAACCACGTTTAATATCGCATCTACTCATTCATTCCTTGTTACACACATATAAATTGTTTGGTAAAAAATCTGGTCTATTCTGTAAGGACTCTTTATATATATAATGGAGTGTACAAATAAACAGTTTTGATGGTTATATATCAAGAAATCACAATTTTGAAGAGTTAAAAGGATTCATAATTATGTTGTTCTAAATTACTTTTAGCTAAGGCTGTCACAACGATGGTGTGGACTCTTATGTGACTTAAATGTGTATGATTCACGTTTAATTTTTAATTTATACTCAATCGTGAAGCCTGTCACTCAAAACCAGGTTTCAAGCAGTAGAGAGAAGCTTTCTGAGAAATGATAATTTTTAATTAACCCACAGGGCCGATGAAGTAGAAAATAATCTTGTGATTTAAAATAAAAACTACTTGATAGTTACAAGATAGACGCCAAAAGCTGAAAAAGCGTTGGAAATCGATAGTTCCAGAACTTCTGATAAAAATTAAGTTACAGCACTGATGTTTTTCTATTCTATATTTTTATACATTTCCGGTTTCAAATCTGATGAGGAAACCACTATGAGAGTCTAGAATGTAAAACGAAAAAGACTTTATTTCAAGTTTAACAAATCTGCAATGTGGCGATGACAAAACCTTGTGTGAGGGCTCACATAACGCTGTAAATTTGGTTTCGCCACATACGATGTGCAGAGCACCGATAGCCATTGTGTAGCTTGTTGGTACGTCTATTTAAGGATATAGAAAAAGTGTTTTCACAGAAATCTGTTATATGACAATTGTTTGTACTGTATGAAGTAGCTACATGCAGTATTTTAAATGTCAAAGCTGAATTATAATGTGCAACAGTTATACGTAGAATATTAATAGTAATTAATATTAATAATGATTATGTATACTGTTACGACAGCGGAAGTCACGCGACGCTGGGAGCATGCGCGCTGGAGTTTCTAGATGGATCATGGATTCTTCCTGGCAACTCTAGTTTGTTCCAGGCGCCCTCTTTTTAGAATATAAGCCCGGCAAATAAAGCCAGCGAAAAAAAGATAGGAT